GATCATACAAGAAGATGGGTTAATCGAATTACCTCATGATGATTATGAAGATCCTTCGATACAGTGACGGAGCTTGGACATTTATTTTGGGGGGCGAAAGTATAATATACATAAAAATCGGAGAGCAGGAGGGGCCACAGCATAAATTTTATATTTTTAGGCTAAATATGTATATAAACAAAAGTGGAAGGGCTATTCCCCCCCCCCCCCCCCCCCCCCCTAAGCAAGCTTCGTCCATGCTTCGATATAGAAACTTGTGATCAAAACAATGAATATGAAAGTAGACCACCTTCTTTTCTTTCTTGAAGAAAGGTTCATAGGAGTGTTCTAGCTGTCGAATAATATGAGGGAGGAAATGAGGCACAATTAACGCATATTTCATATGGCAGAATGCGTCTCATATGCTATACTTAGAAGCTGTGGTGCTTTAGTGTTTTATTTCCAAGTGTTGGACGCTAAGAGATGTTGGAATCCCATGTTAAGTGTTTAGAAGGTTTATAAATACTTTCGATATCGAAGATTAAAGCATCATTTCATTTTGATTGGAAGATTCCACCATAGCTTCAAGCAATACTTTAAAGAATGCTCATCATCAACAACATAGTTCATATTCCTTAATCATAAGTAGCTAAATCCACGTATGACGTGAATGGATTAAGTTCTAATTTCTTTTTTTTATTAGTTGTGGCTTTTTGAACAATTTTAGATTTTTTTGGAACATTATACTTTGGTTTTTGTGTTTAATCAATACTCTTACTACTTTTTCATCTAGAAGTTTTTTAAAGTTGATTTTTGTAAATGTAAGTTGATTTTAATGTAATCTTCCTCATTATGCCAAAGTCATGGGGTGCGGTGCGGAAAACCTAGTTCATACCCATATTTAGGAACAATTAACAGAATTATGTTTCTTTAAAGCAAAAACAAAACTTAATAACTACGAATTCTATAATACTTAATTGGATTAGGAACTGAAATCATAAAGCAATCACGATATTCAAATATTGAATTCAATCCATTTTTAATTCGTTCATTTACTAATGTTTTCAAAGCATTAACTCAATATTTTCAACCTTTAATCACATAGGAATTAAACTATTAACCATAAGTTCCCTTTCTTTAAAACTTAATAACATGCTTATTGCTTGCAATGACGTCACTAAAATTTAAAGGTTGAAACAAGGTCTTAGGAATGTGTTCGAGATAAATAAATAAATAAATAAATAAATAAATAAAAAACTTGGGACATGCTAACCGGATTTTGGTGATGGACACTACTCATGATAAAAACAAATCACTCACATTAAAGTTTCAAAAAAATGACTACATTAAATGGGTCATATCTCGTTTCAACATAGATGCATAATTTTTTTAGCATTGCACTAACTACACACATCAAGCTTTGAAGGTCATATTGTTTTTCCATCGATAAAGACAAGTTTGACATGACAAAGATTCATTATGCGTGTATCCAGTGACGGATCTTAGTAGGAGTCCAAGGTAGACCGTGTCAGGGGCGGAGCTTCAACATATGAGTTAGGGGCCGAAAATATAATATGTATAAAAATCGGTGAGCAGGGGGCGCAACCAAAATTTTATATTTTTAGGTCTAATATGTATAAAAGTAAAGTATATGGGCTATTTGTAACAAAAAAAAAAATCACAGCCCCCCCCCCCCCCCCCCCCCCCTAATAAAGCTCCGCCCATGGACCGTGTTACCCCTCAAATTTGTTGGCGTAGTGAAATTTTTTGATAAAATTTCTGACATAGTGCAATTTTTCCGGCATATCACCCCTAAAATTACGTGTGCTACCCCTGACATTTTGTTCTGAGTCTGACACACTGCGCGCGTATGACGTATCATTTGTAGATTGATGCACACAATGGTGTGCACAAGACCGAAGTTGACATATTTAGTTAGGGTTGTTAGCCGATACGTGTCAAACCCATGTTGACCGTATTGGGAAGTTGTAAAGATCATTCCCCACTACTTAAACAATAATGCATAAATAACATACTCGAATCAAGTTATTGTTAAGGGTCGTCGATTTATAACTAATTCTTGCCATATGGGCGTATGGGGTGTGTGTGTTTTCTGTCTTTTTCCCAAATATGTCGAACAACAAGACACGATAAATCGAAAATAAATTAATATTATTTAATAAAAATAAAACATTAGTTTTCATAAAGTTTGGTAGCGTAAGGATGAAGATTTTGATGGCGTTGGAAGAAAGGCATCATCACCAACCCCATCATGAATCAACCAAAAACCGTTAAACACAAAAAACAAAAACACTTTTTCAATAAATCTGGTTTACTTAACGCACGAATATGTTTTTCTTTACAAGTTACAATTCCTTTTAAATTCTTTTTATCAAACTTAAAAGTAATGGCTAGTTGTTAAAATTCTAAAAAGAATATCTTATGTCACAATGAGTGGTAAGATATAACGTAACGCTGCATACACCCTCCATAACCCTAGGGCCTTACGCTCATTGAGATTGTAATGTTAAAAGTAATGGCTAGTTGTTAAAATTGTTAAGGTTAATAAGTATTCATAAAATTTTATAAATTGTTCTAAAACCGTTCAGCGAATAATTTATAAATAAACAGGTTTAATACAAACAATAAGTTAATACATCTTAGTTATCATCGTACAACGAATGAGAAGGCAAACGGGAGACAAGTTGCGCCGCTAAGTTTTTTTTGTATGGTAAAGTCAATTCTTTTGAAGACTACATGCATAGATCTAGAGGATATAACATTGCTATGCATGATCCGTTGTACTCTACTAGGAAGCTCCACCGCATCCAGCGCAAGAAAACCAATCGTATCAAATGCAAATGATATGAACACGCATGGGCGGATCCAATGTAGAGCCCGGGGTAGCCCGGGATACCCCTCAAATTTTTTTCGGTAGTGTAATTTTTCTAGGAAAATTTTGTTTTATATAGTGTATATATATGTTTCCTTTCACTTATAAACACAAACAAACACGTAGTCTGCTGGATAAGGCGCTGGTATATATCAGAGTTCTCAAAATCAAATCTCCCTCCTTACGTGTTCTTTGTTTACCTTTTATTTTTATTTTCCCAGCTATTCTATCCCACGTCGCCAAACACATGTAAATTCAGCCATTTTCGTCCATTATATTAACCTGATATCCTCATGCTTCATTTGATATCTACTTTGATTCCCACATCGATTCAGGTATCAAAAGATACTTCAACTTCATATTTATATAACAAGACTTGAGGTTACCTAAGGATTCGATTATTGTTTAGGTTTAAAACTGAAACCGAACTGGGAAACCCAAGTACCCCGGAAAAAAATTTGGGCCACCCGAAAAAAAAATTTGGGATACCCCCTTTACTTTCACTCTGGCTCCGCCACTGTGAACACGTGTTGATTTTCCATGCACGGCTTCTCATGTTTGGTGACCTTGCATGTAGCAACTTGTAATGCAGCATGTCCCGCCGTGAAACCCCCTACCCTTAAGCCTACAAGAGGGGATACCCTTGTAAGGTCCACACATGTGTGTTTCCCTCTAACCCATCCAAAAATCAAAACGTCAGCTGGTCTAAGGGTTGACCTTCCTTCTGTCGGGTCAGTCAGGAAATTCACAGGAGCCTCTTTCTTGGCGGAAACCCCGACACGCTTAAATATGTCGACCAAAACATCCCTAATCATATCGTGCCTGTATTTGAACCCTGGGAGTTCTTTGCAATGAACTGCATGTTCTCCAAAAGAGTCCAAACATGCCTTGCGGCACACCGGATATATCTTGTCGGTTGACAATATTGGAATCATGAGTCGATATTTAAAGATGGTACGATACTCCACAGGAGACATATGTTGGCCAAACCCATCTATAAGAATAACTAGAACAAAATCTTGAGCATGTGGTGCACGTAAACATTGGAAAACTGCTTTCTGTCGAGCCGTCATTGGAAATGCACTTTCATATCTTGAACAATTTTACTAAAAAATACACTCACCAGTGTATTCTGGGATTTAGGGGGGTGTCTTTAGTAGTAAAACTACTAAGGTCAATGTCCTGAAACTTGTTACGAAGAGAAGCTAAGGCACAAGCATAATCAAAATTCATACCATAAATACCACTATACTGTAAGATGTGGTCTTGTAATACCCAAGATTGGGCAAAAGAGAAAAAAAGAAAAATATAAATTTTTTAATAGCCGTTGAACAGGCAAAAGAGAAAAAAGAGAGAGATTTTGTGTTTTGATCCCTGGCAGGGGTCCTGAGCGTAGGAATCGTTCTAGGGGGGGCACATTCCTATCGAGAGCCGTTGTGATGACATAACACATAGTCCAAAGAATGTTCGCATGAAGATTTTGAAACTTTTGAGAGTTTTTAGTTTTTAATTTTTAAGAATAAACTTCATTCTACAATAAGCGTTTTTAACTTTTATTTTAAATAAAAAGCTCCTAATCAAAAAGTTACCTCAAATAGTTTTTAGTTGCATTAATTTTTAATTTTTATCTAATTTAAAATCTATTTTTTTCCAAATATTTATGTACAATTAAAAGCTCCATTTTCGCTAACAGCTTTCCGCTTCAACTAATTTATGGCCCACTTAAAAGTGGGTCTCAACTCAAATTGGTCCACTAAATTGGTTTTGTCATCGTTTTTAGTATAAAAACCCAAATAACCTTGGAAATGTAGATTTTTTATTTATTTGTTATTTTTTCATATAAGATGTACTCTGTTAGTTTTGGTTCAGGATCCTTATATATATTATATGTGGTGTCATCAGGATGAACCATTTCGTTATAACATTGGCATCTTAGTTAGCCCTTACTCTTTCCATGTTCATATCTTTATCTCATGACATCATAACACATTTCTATACATAAACACACGTTTTATGTATGTATATATATATATATATATATATATATATATATATATATATATATATATATATATATATATATATATATATATATATATATATACGTAAAGCCTGAGTTCTTTCATCTCTTGAATCAAACAAACACCAACAACAACGGCGCTTCATCTGTATAAACCAATGAACTTACTACTACTTACCACCTTCATCATCCTCAACCATGTCTGCATCGGATATTCATCTCCGGCTAATCCATTAACCTCCGATGATCACCAACTCCATATACGAAAACTTCAAGAATTCAAGCCATCCTTCTGGCAAACTAAACCCGTAAGTACCCATATAATCCTTGTTTTTTGGTGTATCATGTCAGATTATCAGTACAAAAGCTTAAAATACATGAAATGTAGGTTTCGACTTCTCGTTTGTATGGCGTGAGCTTGTATGGAGCAGACCCAACGGGGAAAACCGATAGCACTGACGCAATCCTTAGAGCAATATCCGACGCCGTGTCAGAAGAACGTGTTGGGTTGTTGATGGACGGAATCACCAACCACGGCGGCGTTCAAATAAGTCTGGAAGGTGGGATTTACAAGATTAGCCGGCCGATGAAGTTTCCGGTGGCGGGAGTTGGAAATATCGTGGTAATTATATAAGTAGAATTTAAAGTTAGGCATAAACGGTCAAACCTTGAGAATAAATTCGACTAGTTTTGACTTTTGACCACTAAAAGTCACATAAAATAAAACGTCCATTAATCGCATAAATGTTATAATGTTATTAACTCTATTTATGATCATTATTTACATGTTTTGTTTGCTTCAATGGTTATGAACAGATATCTGGTGGGACACTAAAAGCATCTCAAAATTTCTCAACAAATGGTTATCTAATAGATTTAACAACTTTTTCATCGTCTTCTTCAAACAAGAATTACAATTACGAGTACATTACCTTAAAAGACATAATGTTGGATTGTAATTACCGAGGTGGAGGGATTCGAGTAGTCAACTCTTTAAGAACAAGCATCGACAATTGCTACATTACCCATTTCACAACCAATGGAATCCTAGTACAAGGTGGCCACGAAACCTACATTCGTAATTCCTTCCTAGGGCAACACATCACTGCAGGTGGCGATTCCCACGAACGGGATTTCTCGGGAATCGCCATCAATTTAGCAGGAAATGACAACGCTGTTACAGACGTTGTCATTTTCTCGGCCGGAATCGGAATCATGGTTTCCGGCCAAGCAAATGTTATCACCGGGGTCCACTGCTACAATAAAGCAACAGGCTTCGGTGGTACAGGAATATATTTAAAGTTACCCAGTCTTACACAGACGAGAATCGTCAATTCCTACTTCGATTACACCGGAATTGTGGCCGAAGATCCCGTGCAACTTCATGTTTCCGGTTGTTTTTTCCTTGGTGATGCGTTTATTGTGTTGAAATCGGTTCATGGTGTTATGAAGGGAGTAAATATTGTAGATAACATGTTTTCGGGATCAAATAGAGGGATAGATATAGTTCAACTAGATCAAAAGGCTGGAGTATTCAACAATATCGATCAAGTTGTGGTGAATAATAACAATGTGAGAGGGATGAATTTGAAGGCAACTATTGCTAAACTTGCCATGAAAGGTAATGGCACCTTATGGAGTGTAGACTTTAATCGAATATTGGTTTTTCCACGACACATAAAATTTGTTCAATACACATTGATGACACAAAGTAATGTGTTTCCGAACTATGTTTTACGTAATATTTCAAACAATAAGGTGTTGATTGAATCGAATGTAGCAGTTGAAGGTACGATTTCTGTAACAGTGGATCAAGGGTTGTCCATATAGATTTATTTTATAGTTTCTTATTGTATTTTTAAAGTATACATTATTTGATTGGTTCAAAAAGAAAAAGAGACCATTGTTCATTTATTCTTGTATCTTTAGTCTTGTTTGTCAAAATGTTGACTTTATAACATTGTTATATGATTTCTTCGTTGAACTACTTTTAATCATAGATTAATGCAACACATAAGTTTCAAACTATGAATTTATGTTTTGATATCCTGAATATATTTTATTCTTAATTATCTTTTAAGTTCATACAAACACATAAAAATAATGAATTTATATCATATTTATAAGTGTGGAATTGTTTAAATAAAAACACTAATTAAAATGATAATCATGAGAACACTATTTTAATATTATTATTCTGATATAATATTAATGTATGATTATTCATATATTCATTGTTGAATAATGACATAAAAATTGTATATACAAAATATATAACAGAATAATAACATAAAAAAAAATATTTTTAAATTAATTTTATTAAGTGTTTTTATTTGAACCTATTCTTTATAAGTGTGTATGTATAAATAGTTTAAGCTTATAAATAAAAAATAAAAACTCAAACATTTATAAATTTATGGAAAAAATCAGGTTTATAAATGTATTTTTTGGGAAAAAGGGAATCCCCTTGGCAAAATAAGGTTTATAAATGTACAAGTGTAATAGTCAAGAAATATTACAAAAAGTCCTCATTGAAAATAGAGAAATGTATACTTTTTGAGATCTAACAATTTTTTTCATACTTACAACTTTACAAGTATTAAAAATTCAAAAGTTTGTCCATATGAATTGAAACTTTAACATATTTCTTTATAATTTGAAGTATACAAATTTAGGGATATTCTAAAAAAAAATAAAAAAAATAAAAAAAAAAAAAAAAAAAAAAAAAAAAACTCATAGGACTTGCATAAAATTATAAAAATGTGAGAATACTATATTTTCCTTTATCAAACGGATGCTTTCCCGTTAAAGTCGATCGTTTTATTTTGGAACTAAACCGAATTTCGCTAGCTGATAATAGAGGATTTGGATATGGACTCTTCCATTGTTTAGTTTGGGCTTTGGCCCAAATGCGAAGAAATGTTCGCCTCATCTAAATCAATATGAAATAAAAGAAAATATTGAAGCATTGAGCCATTGAGTGCCACAAAATTTTGGATTATTTGGAAGTCTAGAAAAAAGTTTTAGGAGGGTAAAGACAAATCTTAATAACTTGACGAACGACATAAAATTATAAGTATTTTCATCGATTTAATATAGAGGAAAAGTGTTTAGTTTTTATTGGATTGTTTGGGCTTCATCTCGTGTTGCTGCATTTAATACGTATTTGCTAGCTATTTGTTAGTTTTTTTTTTCATAATAAAATTGTATGTTGTTTTAAAAGAAATATTATTTACAACAAAGAATATATTTTTAAAAACCTAACAAGAAGCTAAACAAAAAAAAAATTTACTTCACAAAAATAGCAAAAATTATGTTGAATCCCACTTTTCACAAATTTAAATGCAGTGGCGAAGTCATGTGTTAGTATGGTGGGTCATTTGACCCATTTTTTTTTAATAACAAGTTATATAAACTTAAAAATTATGACCTACCTAAAAATAATTAAATGAACCATCTTAATTTTTTTTTGACAACAAAAGTGTATAAATCAGATTTTTAAAGTTCATAATATATATTTTAATAGCCAATATTTTAAAGTATAATCCAATATTCATAGCCAAATATAAATTACATTAATAATCACCAATACAAGTTGCATCGCCAGTAAAGATTCTACTTTGTTAACTTGTGAAAGTTAAATACATTAGGTGGAAATTCAATCACAAATTCAAATAATCCATGAGCATCAAAAAGTACATTTGGACTAATATGGTCAATTGATAATTTAGTTCGTAGGTTTACTTGCATTCATAATTGTTTTTTTTTAATTATTGATTGTTTAAAACTTATTCCATAAGCATCAAAGCTATTGATTTTTTGTTAATACTTATTCCTCATCGGGTACAATTGTAAGAACTTATTTTTTTATTTTTTATATTTTTTTGCTTATACGATTCGACCCGATCCGAACCTACAACTAATACTTTTTGATTTTTTATTTTATTTTCTATCGATTTTATTTAAATAGTAAATCATGTGGTTTTACGTTCTAGACTCGCCACTGATTAAGTAGCAAATGAAAAATTAAGTGTAGTTAATGAATCTCACTCATAAAACAAGGAACTAAGCTTTAGAAGTTTATGTTATTATATGATTCTAGGAGCAAAATAGAGAAAGTATAAGAACTATCATTTTCTCTCTACAAGGATGAGTTTACTATCAGATATCTATCACTCATATACAAGAATTACTATCTATCACTCATAAATATTTTTGGAATAAATTGGTTCCAATTAAGATAAACTTCTTTGGGTGGAGATCTGTGTTGAACCGATTACCCTCCAAAATGGATTTGGAAAAGCGAGGTGTTAGAATGGACTCGATGTTGTGTGAATCTTGTGGGTAGGAGGCGGAATCGACCATGCACATTCTACTTGATTGTCGATGGTTAAAGGAGATTTGGCTCTTAATACAAACCTAGTGTGATGTGAATGTAAATCATGCTACATCAACTGAAGATCTTCTCTCAAGAAAACACAATTACTATCAAGGGGCATCCCACCAAAAAGTCATTCATGTCATCCTTCTAACTGCTATGTGGGGAATATGGAGAGCGAGGAATGATCTGATCTCCAACAAATTGCACTCATCTCCGTTAAAGGTATTTGAAGACATAAAAAGCATTGGCTTTCTTATAGATTAAAAATAGAGGGAATGGATTTCAAATGAACTGGGAATATTTGTTTGTTTTTCCTTTGTCTTACATGTAATCTGATTTTCGCTTGTATTGTATCTTGTTCCTCTTTTGCTCTAGCTTCTTGCTAGTGATTTAATAAATTTTTGTCGTTCAAAAAATCAAATCAAGGAAAAATATGGTTTTATAAAAACAGTCCCAAAAAAGATAGAAAGGACCAAAATTATTTAAATCATTTAAACTTAAAAATCACTTGGTCAAAATTAACCTCATTAGTCAAACATTTAATTCTAACAACTTGTGTCAAAATTAACCTTATTAGTCAAGCATTTAATTCTAACAAATTGGGTTTTGGAGCAAAAAAACCCAATTCGGTTTAAAATTCCTATAACTTTTATTGTAAATCCAAAAGGAAGCTTGCATAACTATTATGTCGAATGACTCCGTCTTTTTAGGCTTATCTTTTGTAACGCCTGATTCCTGGTATGCATTTAATTATAATTTAGTCATTTTTGAAGAGCTACTCGATGAGTTGGGAGCCCCAGACTCGTCGAGTAGAAGCGAGATTGGACGCGGGATCTTAAGCCACCTACTCGATGAGTTGAGAGCCTCGACTCGGCGAGTAGGTCTGCCAGAATGAAACCCTAATTTCGGGGTTTTGCACCCTATTTAAGCATCTTAATCCCCACTTGCTGGCCTCATTTCCATCCTCCAAGTCCCAAACCCTAATCCAAGAAACCCTAGAGCTTTGTGTGAGTTTTTGAGCCATTTTGAGTGAACTTTGTGTGATTTGAAGCTTGTAGAAGAAGAAGAAGCTAGAGGATTCCAGGAGAAGATTGTAGATCCAGAAGCAACATCTCATCCTCTTCATTTTCTGGTAATCAAGCCTCTAATTTGTCTTGTAGTTTCTTAGATCTCCTTATTTTCACTTTATTGGGTTTTTGAGTTCAAGAAGCTTGACCATTGGGATATGGACGTCCCAAGCAAGGATCCTTTCAGATCTGGAATCATTAAGGGTTGTTATGGCATAAAGGTGCAAACTTTATGCCATTGGAGCCCCCATGCAAGCTCTAAGGTATTAATTTTGGCCTTTTTAGCCCCAAAAGGCCATGCATGGAAGGAAAGTTAAGAGCTTTACATGTCCAAATGATGTCTAAGGCCTAGATCTACGTTAGTATGCTTTACTTTGGAGTATTATGGCTTTTGGACCAAGATCTATGTTCTAGAGAGCTAGGGTTTGAGCTAAACCCATTAATAAGGACTAATAACGGGTAAAGTTGGAAACTTTACCCTTAACAGTGTATTTCCAGTTTGTAGATGAAGTGTGGAGTTTGGATCTGAAGGATAGGAGCTTAATCCATTGAGATGGCTCAAACAGACAGAGGAACTCGGCGAGTCCATAGAGGGACTCGACGAGTTGAGTTGGTTTGTCCCGATCCTGTACAAGTGGAACTCGACGAGTCTGTGAAGGGAATCGACGAGTTGGCTCGTGTTATCACGACTATGAGTAGCAAGGGAACTCGACGAGTCAGGGGGATGACTCGACGAGTTGAGTCAACTCGGATGGTTGACTTTAACTTTGACTGAGCGTTGACTTTGACTTGGACCTTGACCTAGGATGGCCCGTGAAGGGGTCTTGATTTAAGGGATAGTATCTAAGAAGTTGTTTTGCATAGGGCGTGGGTAGAGCTAGTTGTAGGAGCAGAGATGTTCAGCTACTTCACTCGATATTTGAGGTGAGTTTCCTTCAGTAGGAACGGGTCTACGGCACCAAGGTCGGCCCGTATATGCGATATTGTAACGCCCCGATTCTTAGGTATTGATTTTTATATAAGATTTTATTGATTTCAAGGTCTACTCGACGAGTTGGTTGCCCTACTCGTCGAGTAGCAGCGGGTTGGTCCACATGTTTTAGTGACCTACTCGTCGAGTCCAAGAAGGGACTCGACGAGTAGGAGTTGGCAGATGAAACCCTAAATTTCGGGGTTTTGCACCCTATTTAAAGGATCATTGGCCTCCCCCAGCCTCCCCTTCACAGCCCCTTGACATTTCAAAACCCTAATTCGTGTGTGGATGCTTCTTTGGTGTATTTAAGCTTTGAGGAAGGTTTTTTTGTGAGAAAAACTTGGGGAAACAAGTGGATTGAAGCAAGGAACTCGTGGGAGTCAAGATCTACTTCAGTTGGCATCTTTTG